GCCTCCTGGTTGCCCCATGCAGCCTGCTTGTTCAGTCATTTGGTTGTCCTTCACTAACCCCCTTGCAGGCCTGGTCATAGGCAGCCATCTTGTTAGGGCATGGCTTGTTCAGTCATTTGGTTGTCCCTCACTAACCCCCTTGCAGGCCTGGTCGTAGGCAGCCATCTTGTTAGGGTATAAGGGATAATTTGCATATTAGCGCTTTATTATATAGGATGACATTATATTAACATATCACATTGTGTTTATCCACTCATTAGTTAATGTACATTTAGGTTGTTCATTCTTTTTGGCTATTATGAGCAATCTTGCCATAAACATGCATGTACAACTTTTTTGTGTAAATATATATTTTCAGTTCTCTTGAGGATATACCTAGAAGTGGAATTTTGGGGTCTTATGGTAGCTCTATCTTTGACTTTTTGAAGAACTGGAGAACTGTTTTCCAAAGTGGTGGCAACAATTTACATCCCCACCACTAATATATGAGGGCATTATAGTATTTATAAGATAGTGCATATTTTATATATGTGGGCATGCCATCCTCTAATGACATCTTCTGATGGCATCTAAGTAATATAGTACCCATAGTAGTCCATATTTACTTCAAATGTTCAGTGTGTGGCAAGTACATACAAACAGACACACTCACACACAAACTTGGTTCCTGCCTTTATGAACTTCTCACCTTATCTTTGCGGCAGTGCAAGACAGCCTTTGTTAAAGGGAAAATGCACTTGGATCTCATTTCAAAGTGGACGATATCAAGGAGATTTATTAGTACACAAAATCTTTCTACTCTTTGTGTGATACTTTACTCTTAACTCCTCACATTTCGTGCTCATTTGTGACAATGTTCACATTACAATGCTCACGGACAATCCCAGCTATAACCTGTTTTTTAAAGTACAGAAAATAGCTTACTTTGCCATCCCTTCTTGCTAAGTGGCAACTAGAAGATATTGGGCCACATGCTTGTGTTGACCAATGAAAATGTAACAGAGACATTTGGGAGGTAAGAGACAAGAAAAGAAACAGCCTAACTTTACACCGCAAGAAACTAGAAAAAGAACAAAAACCAAAGTGGGTAGAAGGAAGGAAGTAACAAAGATTCAAGCAGAAGTAAATAAAAGAGAGACTAAAAAGACAATAGAAAAGATAAATGAAACTCAAATCTGGTTTTTTGAAAAGAGAAACAAAATCAACAAACCTTTAGACTCACCAAGGAAAAAAGAGGTAGGACTCAAATAAATAAAATCAGAAATGAAAGAAGAGATGTTACAACTGACACCACAGAAATACAAAGGATTATAAGAGATTACTATGAACAATTAATTATACACTAACAAATTGGACAAAATAGATATATTCCTTAAAACATATAACCTAACAAAACTAAATAAAATTAAAAATCTCAACAGACCAGTTACTAGTAAGGAGATTGAATCAGTAATCAGAAACCCCCGCGACAAACAAAAGTCCAGAAACAATGCTTCACTGATGAAATCTATCAAACATTTTTTTTATTTTGTTTTATTGCTTAAAATATTACAAAGAGTATTACATATGTCTCTTTTTCCCCCCCCCCCCTTGAC